GGCGCGATCCCGCCTCCCCGGCCATCCCCGCCTCTCCAGCCCTCCTTCACCTCTCGGCAGGCGGCGTTCGGACTCCCGCCGTCTGGAACCGAGGTCCTGGGCGCCTCCGGGCTGGAGGGCGGGCGCGCTCGGTGGGCGGCGGACGTAGAGCGGAGCGCGGGAGGTGTCGCCTCCTGGCCGGGTCCCCTGCGAACGCCCCGCCCGAGCGTGCCCGGGAAGTGAGGTTCGGTGGCCTCCTCCGGATCTGGGGATCGCGGTGACCTTCGTGCCTCCTCCTCGCGTCCTTCTCCTCTGACCCTCTCGGGGTGGCCTGTCCTAGGTGAGAGAGGACGAGCAGGCAGGCACACCTGGTCAGCCCAAAGCGCAGCAACGCAGCACCTGGGATGACAACAGCAGACGCTGTAGCGCTTTTTTCATTTGATAGCTGCAATACTTAACTTCAACTGAAATCTCCGCGTAGCTGAAGATCTGAGGGGCCTAGTCTGAGGTGCCGCTGCGTAGACGCTCAGTTCTTTCCACCCAAACGTTATGCTTAAAAGGTTAAGGATCAAAGTCGCATCTGTGGAAGGGTAGGATGGAATGTAGAAGTTTTTGTCCAGCGTAGAACACAGACCACTCACCCATAACATCTGTAGGAAGAGAGTTAACCACTTTTTGCCAGATCTTTAGCTCATAACTTCCAATGTCATCAGTGAACAATTCAGTTTTCATTAAGGATCTGCACACTACTTTGCTGGCCTTTGTTTATGAGGTTAATGTTACTGGTCCATGGGGGAGGGGAGACTTCGTGATGAGTTGTTTCACTGGATGTAGAGACTGTTATATGTCTCACAGGGACAATGGGATGTTAAAGTGCTAGGAGTGCATAGTTTCTGATTCTGGAGTAGTTTTCTAGTGTCACAGCGTATTGGGGTGTGGTGGGTGAATTTTTGGTTTGGGTGTCTTTTATCACCATGTCAGGGATAACCAAAGAGAAAACTTCTCTTTTTCCCATTTAAAAGGGGGAAATTTTTTTTCGTGAGCCTAGCTTTAACCAGTCTTTCTGAGCTGAATGTCACCCATGGAAATTGCCTGTTCATTTTTCTTTCCATTGTGACTACAGTACCCAGAATAAGTGTTAGCTACTGCAATATCCTAATAGTACAAGATAAAGCACACCCACATGGTATAGTGCCTGGAACAGTCAGTGCCCAGTAAATAACCTCTGAATGAGCAGATGAAATCTAAGCAAAAAGCAGCCTGTTTTAAATTTTGCAGGAAAACATGAGGAAATCAATTATAGGGATCAGGGAACATATCCTACAGGTAGTAATTGGTGCCGTATTTTGATAGAAAGGTTGTTAAAGGGGTGAAAGTGAGAAAAAATGTTTGATACAATTTCGAGATGTGATGGTGGCAGATGTTCTTCACCTTTTGTAGGGAATAGGACCCCCTATGAATGTGATAGGCCTGGAACATCGTATATAATAAACAAGTAGTAAAAATATTTGTATTTGTTTTCTGAGAGTTCAGAGACTGTCTGAAGCAGATCTGTGGAATCTCTAAGCCTGTGGTCTTAAATTACCAATTTCACGTTTGCAAACAGGGACAATAAAGGGATTGCATTACTAGGCTTTCAGTCACTGTGACAAAATAATTTATGAGAAGAAAAGGTTCGTTTTGGTTCATTGCTTCAGAGATTATCGTCCAGGGTCAGCTGGTTGTGTTGTTTTGGGCCTGTGGTGAGGCAGGGTATCATGGTGGTGGGGAGTACATGGTAAAACAAGCCTCATGGCAACCAGGAAGTAAGGAGTGGAGAGGATGGGGAGTGAAGAGCAGAGGGGGAGTGGAAGCTAAGAGTAGAAGAAGAGGGATGAAGGTTCCCACATCCCTTGAGGACACACACCCAATGACCTAACTTCCTCCCTCTAGACCCCACCTTCTAAACGTTTCACCACTTCCTAATGGTGCTAGGGGCTATTGACCAATCCTTCAGCATATGGGCCTTTCAGGGGCATTTGAGATTCAAACTATACCAGAGATTATTCTAGCTGATGCCTTGTTAAGATTCATTTATTTCTATGCCCATCCAAAGAATTTGGGTCATAGCTTTGGAAATAGAGAAGTGTGTGCTATGAGGAAAATTTGTACACTAGAGCAACATAACAGACTTTCAACAGTTTATACTCTTCTTGTACGTGATAATTTCATGTGTCAGAAAGAAGAAAGAAGGAATAGATGAAAAAGGACTGTCTAAAACATTGACTGCTGCTAATGCCAGGTGAGTACATAGGGCTATTGCATCATTATCTCATTTCTGACGTTTGACATTTTTCATGAAAAATATCTTTAATGAATTTTTATTTGTAGGTAGTCCTAACTAATCCTATGACATTTCCTAACTTGAGTTAGTAGAATGGAGCATTTGCATATATAAAATGAAGTGAAAAATGAAATGGTATACAGAAGCCATGATGATTCATATAAGATTGTTATAAAGAAATAAAGTCAGTATAGAAACAATATATTTTCTCATAGAATAAATTACAATGTGAGTTGGCCATAGTCTGGACAAAAAATAGATCACCGTGGATTAATGAACAAGTGGTCTGTTTCTTTCTAAATTTATACTTAAATTTATTTTTTATTGCTTAGATAATTATATTATTTTATAGAATTATGCACTATATATTTATGTATTATGTGCATGATACATTACTACTCATAATGCTACCTATTATTATTCATATATACTATATACCAGTGGTGGCAAACCTGTTACACATGTTATTTGTTTTTGTTTTAAGACAAAAGATGTTAATGTATGAATTTTTTCTAAACTAAAAGCTCGGTACTCAGGTTTAATTGCAGTGTTGCTACTTTGCGATAAATAAGTGGGTTTTGGGTTGCAGTTTGAGCACTTGTCTCTAAAGATTTGCCATCACTGATATATACTATTATAGGTTATTATTCCATATGTTATTATAATAACATATATAATTGTAATTATATGTAGTGTATATATATAGCTAATTCAGTTCCTTTATCAGGGAACTCTCAGCCTTGGCGCATAACTTTTGTGGCAGCAGGTGGCAATTCAGGAGTCTCAGAGTACTTGCTTTGGCTGCTGCCGCCTTCTGGGAATGCCAGGCACAGTAGGAGCTTACACTCAGGCTGGCATTGTCCATCATGTGACTGACTAGGTCAGGGGCTGGTGCCCACCAAAAGGAAGTATCTAGCTTGTTTCATGGTCTATGAGGCAGTCACCTACAAAACATTACCAAGGAGGTATGTGCAGTATTGGACAATGACGAAGTGACCCAGTCAGGCTTCATTTCCCAGGGTATCTTAGAGGTAGGACCTGGATTTGAACCCAGATGAGGAGTGCTACAGCACATGAACTCTACAGCACCTTGTTCACTGCCTTAGGAGAAGCACAGAATTAAACTGAGTCACATGCATGACCGAGTCACATGCATGACTGAGTCATACTGTAGGAAGCAACAGATGGCATGGTGACTGAGGGGCTCACCCTCCTCAACTTCCTGGGGTGCAGCGTTTCCTCATGGACTGTCCAGGACAGTCCTTCTGAGTTGTTTATGGCTGTAGAGAGCATTGCTTTTCCTTCAATCCGCATGTGGCTTCTTAGCAATTCTAGTATAAGCCAGCTGTTCCTCTTCTCTATAATCGAACTGATATAACCCAATAACCTGCTGGTTTCCTATAGAACTATCATAGCAGGAAGTGGAGCAGTGACTGTTCTTTCCGTGGCTTTATCCCATATAGAGGCCCTTTTTCCTTACACAAACATAAAATGTACCTTCTTAGAAATTCTATCTTTCATTTCTGCAAATCTAGTTACACTTCCCAGCTATTTTATTAGTAAAATAAATTATTTTTATACAAAGATGTTTTTGTCTGAACTATTATGAAAATTTTATATGGAATTTAGCAGCTAATATTTAAAACCATTTATTTGATGGAAATATGGAGTAAAAATACAATCAATGCATACTAAAACTGAATTATTTTAATGCCCTTTTGCTTGAGGTTCATTACCACTTCTCTATATCTTATTTTCTTTAAATAATAAAACATTTTTTAATGTATGTAAGAATACCTTAATAGGTAATTTCAATTTCTTTTTGTCAAGGATGTCTTCTCTGTTTTAAATTCATATGAATTTGTTGACAGTCTAGAGTTCTTTGGCTTTTGCCAGACTCTGTATGTTGATTCTGCTGGGTGCTGGTCTCTGCCATTGGTCTTTGTTGGCTTCAGGTCTCTGGAGCTCTTCACTGTTTACAGGTCTGAACGATCATTTGTCTTTCTTTGG